CTGAATATGAGCCAGCAGTGTGCCCAGGTGGCCAAGAAGGCCAACAGCATCCTGGCTTGTATCAGAAATAGTGTGGCCAGCAGGAACAGGGCAGTGATCGTAGCCCTGTACTCGGCACTGGTGAGGTCGCGCCTCAAATACTGTGTTCAGTGTTGGGCCCCTCACTACAAGAAGGACACTGAGGTGCTGGAGCGTGTCCAGAGAAGGGCAACGGAGCTGGTGAGGGGCCTGGAGCACAAGTCTGATGAGGAGCGGCTGAGGGAACTGGGGTTGTTTAGTCTGGAGAAAAGGAGGCTGAGGGGAGACCTGATCGCTCTCTACAACTACCTGAAAGGAGGTTGGAGCCAGGTGGGGGTCGGTCTCTTCTTCCAAGTAACAAGCAATAGGACAAGAGGAAATGGCCTCAGGCTGCACCAGGGAAGGTTTAGATTGGATATTAGGAAAAATCTCTTCACTGAAAGGGTTGTCAAGCATTGGAAGAGGCTGCCCAGGGAAGTGGTAGAGTCACCCTGGAAGTATTTAAAAGATGCGTAGATGTGGCACTTAGGGACACGGTTTAGTGGTGGACTTGGCAGTGCTAGATTAACGGTTGGACTTGATGATCTTAAAGGTCTTTTCCAACCTAAACGATTCTATGATTCTGTGATTCTGTTAACACTGATGTGCTCCATGTACTGGAGGCTAACAAAAAACAAAGCAAATAAGATAAAGTGAAGGTCCTTCAGAACTCAGTTACCCAGCCAGCCATTAGAATAACCCAGGAGGAATGAACCATCAAGTGCACTTTCAGAGTTTTAATTATTTGCAGAGATTCATAAATAGTAGTAACACTTGATTTTGCAGCTATCCTTAAGAAAGGCCATTTAGTTGAATATTAGAATTCCATGGTAAAACTGGATTCAAGGCAACATAATGCTAAACCCCAAGAGATGGTACCAGGGCTAAAGAGCTAAAAAGCCTAAATGAATGCATAATAGAAAGGTGAATTAGTCCTCCAGTTCCCCTTATCATTAGCAAAGCTATCCTCCCAAATCTACAGTGCAAGAACACTATTTCATTAGATCCACAAAACACAAAGAATTAAATGATTGACAGACATTTCCAATTGTATAATTTGTAGCTTATGAATAAGCTTATGAACTTTATGTTTTATTTTGTTCAACTTGGAGACATACACACGGAAAATCTCTGTCTGGATTTCAAACAGTTTTTATAAAAGAAGTTAGAATATCATCTTCCTACTGAACTGATGCCAAGACTTTCACTAGTCAGATTTTCACAGTTAGATTTTTCATAGACTTTCATTAGCAAACAGAAGAGTTTCTATTTAGAGCAGAACCCGTGAAAAGCAGAAATAATACGAAACCACTCAAATCAAAAAACAAAGCTCCATTACAACTTTATGGTAATTATGATTACTTAATCCCTGCATAGCCCTATTCTTTGATCTGAACTTTTCTAAATTCATTTCAGGACAACTTGCACACTGTTATTTCTCAGGCAAACATAGAGGAAAATAGAAAAATGAGGCTTGAGATGCACGTATTAAAACTTTCCCTTTCTAAAACCTTGAGTGCAATGCTTTTTTGGGAAAATTGCTACTGAATTTCCATACAAATGGATCTGTGCAGGCAAAAGTTTCTGGCTGGAATATGGAGTTTGCTGGACTAAGGACAGAAGTCTTACTGGCTTAAGTGAGATGAGGGTTTCACCCTTGACATATACAAGATTTTATGAAGGAAACTTATGATTTCAAGATTTCTTATCTGGATAAGAAGATTATCTAACTGATGTGACCTCACGTTACAACTAGGAAAATGATCCAACTGGGTCCTGTGAGTAAGTTATGTTGCAAGCCCTGAATGTCCTGTAAACTCTCCAAAAAGCTGTATTTCCCCAGCAGGTTTCCTTTCATTGCCTATTGAATGGAACACACTTCTCTGACATAACCAATGCATTTATTTAACTTTTGTTTTATATTTTATCTTCCAATTTATTTTGGTTAGAGGTAGAATTATTCTGTTAAAAAATGACCTGATCCTAGACAGAGTTTATTTAAATTTCAAAATGAAAAGCTTACTAAGAACAGATAAGATTGATTGCTCTTTCCATCTTAGCATAATTGTATTTCAGGTGAACATCAATTTACTTTAAAGGACGCTTCTAAGTAGCAGGCTGCATCATACATAATTCATCAATCACAGCTGCCTGTAACGTGATTTACACAAGTGATTTCAATGGAATAGAGGCAGTCGTATTGTTTTTTATGCTTTGGCTTGTTTGTTTTTAAATAGTTTACGAAACACTCATTTGCACTGAATTATTGCTGAAAAGAGTTCATCCTTGGTAATCAGCATGTTGAATTTCTTTCTCTTTGTACAGAAATGTTACCTCTCTAAATTTCTTTTAAAAGGCAGAGTGAGTTTTCAAAACATCGTTAAGGCAGAAAGCACTCCATGCTTATCGAAGGTAAAAATAAAGCTCAAGGATTTTGCTAGGGGGGAAGGGAAGGCAAAAATATTTATCTGAAAAGCATTACTAGTTTTAGGGCTGTGTATTTTCTAGCTGGCTTGATGTCATTTGTTATTCCTGCATGCAAATGTAATTGAAAAGAAGTAGCTCTCTCCTCAGCTAGCCCTTCACACAGTTGTCACATGGACAAAATGGGGTTTACGTGGCAATCTACACAAAATGGACACAAAACAATGTGCCAGTTAAACCACAATCACTTGATACACCAAGAAATATAGGTGAAACTGGCGGCACCGCAATGTGTGTTACGCTACTCAGTGTCTTCCATCAAATTCAGCTTTAGGGACGTGTTGGTGCCTCAGAGGGTCCTGAAGTAAAGAAGCATTTCCACAAATAGATGCAAATATAGTTTCAAAAGAAAAAAGAGAGAGCAAGAGAAACTGCTAGAAATGCACACCTACACAAAGACAGAAATGCCTTTACTTACTTGTAAGCCCATTTGAAACACAGAGTGACCCATAAAGTTAGCCAACATTCGAATTAGAGCTGCACCCTGTGGGAAATGATAGAGAAAAAAATAAGTTACCGGGTTTGCATATCAACATTACACAATAATAACAATCTGAAGTAGGCGTTTCCATCCAACACTATCATCTTGGAAACACGTGATCAATACAATCTTTATTTGTGCTGGAATGAAAAAGAGAGAGAGAAGATAATGCAAATGCTTACAAGGAAAAGTGAGTAAGTAGACTGACATTGTTAATATCCTGCCCCATATACTGAATAAGGCACAGGTCATAAAACACACTCTCTCCGCTGCTGGAGCAGGGATGTGTCAGCTCCACAGCTGGTTGCCCCCAGCCCTTCTGTGCACTCAGCAGTACTGCACAGTTTTAAATGAGGGCAAAAAATAATGTCCATGCTAAATTCTACCACAGTGATAATATTTTTACCTCCATTATACTACTGTAAATCAGGATTTAGTGATACTACTTTCCTTTGTAAAAGCCTTCAAGATCTGATGATCTGGAAGTGGATCATTGTCATAAGAATATTATAAGATGTAGATATACGTATTTGACTTATCAATAGTCAGCTTATTTCCCAGACTGTCATGCCAAGAGGTAAGTACTTGTATAACACTCTTTCTCTACTTATACTAGTTCTTATCCCTTTGCCCCTTCAGGCAAAGCAGAGAGATCTAAAAAAATTTCTTTTTTTTCACAGGTGATTCTAATTCTCAGTACTTACACCAAGAAACAGATAGACACTTGCCAGAGTAGCTTTCTTTAAGGCATTCTTTTTGTTTTCTCACTCCCTCTCAGAACCACAATTGCTGCGTATTTTCCCCTTTCACAAGTGCTCTATTTCAAGCAGAAATATCTTTGCAGATCCGGATCGATGATTTAGCTATAATATCCTACTTTGCAATCCAGTTGCAAGACAACCAGCCTTCCAATCCCATTAACCAAATGTTATACTTAGTACTGATCACTGCACGAGAGGGAGGACACTTTTGATTTAAAGACAGTGAATCAAAGGCCGTAAGAAAGCGTGATGCTAGAACTCAACAACCTCAGCTACAGATGTAGGTCCAGGAATTAGGCTAATGCTCAATTAGAAAATAGAAAAACCCAAATCATTTCACAGATTCAAAAATTCAAAGGTTCTAAAACCAAAAGAACTATTACAACAATGTAATCTGACTTCCTGCATTAGCAGAGGTCAAACAGTAATTTAAGCAAAAACCCTATTGCTTCTCTTTACACAATAGGATCTATTTTAGGAAGATTCAAGAACACGAAAATGTTTCACAGTACTACATAACATGTCACACTAATATTTACTCTCACAGTGAAAATGTGCATCTTTTTACTAATTTGAATTTCTCTAGCTTCAGCTTTCAAAACAAGATTTTATGCATTTTCCTGCTAGATTAAAGCTCAGATTAGTTTTGGAATTTAACAGTTCTCCAATTTTTAGACCATTTTACACACGTTCCACTGATTTTTTGTACAGTGACTATTTTTGAAGTACCAAAGGGATTATCTGTAATAACCAACATTTGAAATAATGACATAAATCAAAAAGATTCATAAATTATTGGAAAATTGTAAGAAAACTCCACAAGTTCTTCACATAGGCAGCAACAACAAATAATATATAGTTAGCAAAGTAACTGAAGTAAAAAAGAAGGAAAAAAAAAAAACATTAATTGAAGAGACGTTTGTAGTTGCTTAGAAGAATTGAACAGCGGATAAGCCAAAAGACGGTGTTTGCATTATTAACAACTATTCTATGTTTTTATGGGGGTACATAATCTTACTGGGAGACCAATCAAGTCTGGAACACACAGCAGCATAGAAAATAATCCCTGCCGAAACAGGTTATTACCTGAACAGACAAGACAATAGGTCAGGAAGCATTATTACCCTTATTTTACTAGAGGAATAGAATGAGTAAAGTTCTCAGAGATGTTTAAGCAGATAAACAGCAGATAAATCTGTCTAAGCAGATAAAGAGAAGAGAAAAAAAATCTAACAAATAGATAAATCCTATTTATCCTGTAAGTAACTTGGGCAGGGCAACCCAAAACATCTGTAGCAGAACCAAAAATATATAAAGATCAGCCTAAATCCTTAACAACAAAGACATTTTTTCACCCATCACACATCCCTTTTCCTACCCACTTGTCAGTATTCCAGGGTCTCCTCACATTGATTTCACATTGTAGCAATGGACATATATTTATATAGGCACCTGAACTCTACCGATTGCTGTGAGAAGCAAGGAAGCAAATACCTTCATATGATGTTGCTCACAGAGTCTTTTTCTATCCAGAAACCAAGAACTGTCAGATACACGTAAAAAAATTATAGAATTCCTCTCACAGGTGACATTTAGCCACACATTGGATGGAACTATGGCTGGCCTTTACGCAGCAAACAAAATAAAAAAGCAAGCAAAGACTGAATAAGAAATCCAAGGCACAAAGGCAGGACTACTCTCTCAGGACCGATCCCTTTTCACAGCTACTTCAGAAGTACTTTCCACCAATTAATTACCTTCAGGAAACCCAGAAGTCCTACTTACAGTTTCCAAAACAATATGCTTGTCCCAGTTCTGCCATCTTCCCCACACAGGGAAAGCAAATGCCAGGAAGGGAAGGGGAAGGAGATTCTAAAGAAAAAGGGGAAAACAGAAAACCAGAGAAACTCAAGACGAAAAAATTGTCTTGGGGAGAAGGGATGAGAAACAGGAGCAAATGCAGCCGTTGGTGTGAAGGGAAAAGAAATGGGAGGAGGAAAAGGGAGAAAACCACTCATTTAATCTTTCTTGCACTTTAAGAGCAGGCAGAAGAGAGGACAGTGATACATTCGTAAGAGCAGAAGCAATGAATACGTTCCCAGCTCTGGGAAGGAAAGGCAGCAAATACTGGCACTTGGGAAATGAAGAGAAATAGGTTTGCAGGCAGAAGCATAAAAAGCAAGAGGTATGCAGAGTAACTGGCATAAGGAAGAGGGGCTTACTAAAAAGAGGAGCTTGGACGATGACCCTTACCAGAGGGTCCTGGGAGGTAAAGAAGGTATGTGCAGTAAGTTCAGTTACAGGAGTAATAGAATACATAGCCTTGGGGTCATCTGAACGGCCCCATGTGCTAGCATTTTCACTGCCTATCCGCCTAGCAAGCAGTGAACTAGATGGAGTCCAGAGGACCTACGCTTCCATATGCTCTGAAAGCTTCTGTGACCTAGACTTAAACCTACAGAAAAATCCTAAACCACAACACATCTGTCCTGCTGCAAAGGGTGCCCTCTGGAACCTGTCAGCATCGTTCCCTGAACGCCCTGACATGCAACCGATCCGCTCCCCATTTCACTCTCAGGGCCACTTCTGCTCTGCCAACATTTGTCCAACCGAGGAATGACATATGGAGTCTTGAGAAGTGAACCCGGCTCTCCTACAGGGCAGAATAGCTATTTATTGATGATTTAAGTGCTTTCCTCCAGGCAATGGATGACTCAGTACTTCCTCAAGAGGTAAAACACATTGGTTTAACAGGTCTAGTGGAAAGCAATTCTTTCCTATTCAAGAAACGTACCCATGTTCCTGCCAGTGGAAAATCTGACTCACCTTAAGCTATTGTACCCCATCTTAATAAAAGTCTACTCAGACAAATACACTAGATATTCAGTCAATGATTAATGGCACTACCTGGTGAAGCACTCTTCATTAGCAGATCTCATAAGTGCTTCGTAAGACACTGATATCAATATCTTGCAAATTAAAGGGAAACTGAGGCACATCATAGTGAAATTATTTGCCAAAGATCACCCAGCATGCTCCTCATATAACCTATGACACAGTCGAAACCTCCTCAGCACTGTGACTCCACCGCTATAGGAGAGGAAGGTGGAGCATGTTGGCTGCTCCATGGAAATTAACTGCATACACAGCCCTTTTCTGCAAAGTGCTCTTGGGGAAAAGGCATGCTCATGGGCAATTAGCCAACGCTGGCTGAAGTGCTGTAAGTTGATGCTCTTCCTTTCCCTGAAGAAACTTGTTTGCACATTCACACCATGGTAAAGACCATCCATAACTAAAATTAGGAGCAAAATTCCTTTATATGTGAGCTGAACTTGCCTTTGAAATCAACAAAACGCAGAGTCACAGTTAAGGCATTCAAATTCTCTCCATGCCAACGTAAAATAATGTTAAATGAAACTAATTTTTAAAGACCCACTCCTACATTTTTTGATCCTGTGGCACCACTACAGGTCACAATTACTGTAAGTTAATTTAATTCTCTGACTTACTGAATGATCCAATTTTATTATACCTGAATTCTTAAATTAATTGTTTCACTTGCAACTTGCATCCTGTAATCATTTCTTATACAAAAGAAAGTACCAAATGGAATTTTCTTTAACAGGAAAAAAAAGTAAGTCTTATGTGTGAACCCACAAAAATCTGACTGCTGCAGACAACACAGTACTGTTATACAGCCACATAGGAGGGGATAGAGCTGACTCAATACAGGTATCTGTAGCATCTGTGTCTACAATTACTTTAGCTGTTTAGATTTCCTTTACAGTCAATGGACAGCACCAGTCACTTCTGGGTGCACCTTGTCTCATCTTAAAGTAGACCTCCAGATGGGAGAATTGTACCCTAAAAGCACCCATCTCTTGTAATTTACGCCAAAAGTAGCCTTGGGTGACAAGCTGCTATGTACTTATCTACACTGCAGACATCTAAAGTGAGGTGAGATGAATTCAACTGCACTGTCCAAACAGGCCATACAGAGACTGATTCCCCACTCTCTTACAAAAGTTCTGTACTAGTAAGCAGCTCCCAAGAATTTCTGAATTGCGGAGATATAAAACTGGTGTGACACCATCCTTTTCTATATATACAGTTGAATAACATATATCTCAGTTTATTCTACCTTGTCATACTTTCATATAAGAAAACCAGCAACGGTAGGTAGGTATTCGAGAGAGGGCCCTGAAGAGAGTGCTTTCTAGCTGAAGGTGGATATTCTGTACC